CTGATACCACCATTCAAGTGCATCACCATATAATCCAGTAGTTGCTATCTGCACTTGCTTCTCTACTGTGTACCTATGGCAGTGAAAAACGAAATCCATATTCTTTTCCCATTCAAGATATGTATCTTGATCACACTCTCCATAGAAGGGTGGAATCTGGATCTCTTTTCTTCTTTCTAGCAACATCTTACTTGTTGCTGGTTGTTTAGCCTTATCTTCATAGATCATTCCAGTGAGACCTTGAAACTTCCCATTAAGCCAAGCTTTGATCAGTATCTTCGCTAGTCCATATGCTGGATCCCTTCTCTTAAGTTTGAGCATGATCAGAATCGCACCACTTGGTCAGATTTATTGGCTCTTAAGCCATGAAACATCTCCTGAGTAATTAGAATATTATCCGAAATTAACCTCCCTGGGACAAAGGCCGATTGGGTTTCCGATATTATCCTGGGATAAACAGCTTTTCAGCCGTTGACATAATACTTTTGAGATGATCTTATATCCAACATTACAAAGAATTATCGGTCTAAGCTCCGTCATCCTTGTGGGTCTCTCCTGTCTTTGGGGTAATACAAATATGAGTAATATTTAAACGAGCAACCAATACCGCTAAAATCAAAAAAAAATTATTCACCATCTCTATCAAATCCTTATTAATAACATGCCAGGAGTGCTGGAAAAAAACAATGTCATTCCGTCAAGTCCTGGTGTCTTTTTCAGGATGCATCATAAATAAAGCTTGTCTAACCTCCTCCTCTGTGGCCGTCCTTAACAACCTTTGATTCATTTGAGTTGTCTAAACTCAGATGGGGAAGTAGAAGTAAATAACTCCTCAAAATAGTCCACTGCTACTTGTTCCACCCCGTTTTCCCCTGTTATCCAATTTCCAGCATCATCATGAAGCCCCACTATTCTATTACGCACCCGCTTTTGTTTTGTGAAAGCATGATAAAACCTGGTATTAAGATCTCCCGAAAAGTACCACATATTACGGCTCTTTTGATACCACTAATCCTCTTCATCCTTGTATGCATTCTATAATTTCCTAGACACTTCCAAAATGTTCTCATGTGTCCTATTATCATCCATCCGTACCTTTTCAAGAGCCCTTTGGAGGTCTTGAATTTTCTCATTTCCATATGGTGGATTGTTTTTCCTCCACCTTGCTATCTCATGCCGGCAATTATTAATTTTTGTGACTAAACCACCCACATGGCCATTATTTTCTTCTGTCAAGCCAGCAATAATTGATTCCATAAAGCCCTCATGTCCAATCCATCTCTTATCAAATCTAAATTGTCCTCTCCTTTTATAAACTTTATCCTTCATGTATGCATCTACTGGACGATGATCCGAGCCAGCCATCCCCAAGTATTCTGTATAGGAACACATGAATATTGTATGCCCTTCTTCCTTTGCTAGTGCTCGGTCAAGACGACATCTTATCATTACCGCTCCTTTCCCTTTCCCTCTACGTCCTTGCCATGACATTTTATTTCCTCGAGCCGGGAACTTAAGTAACCCACTATTTTGAATCATATTGTTAACAGAAACAAAAAAGCCAAGCTCCTTAATGCACCCCCTTCCTTTTCATGATTTCCGGTAATCTCATTTAAATCGCCGATAATAAACCAAGGTTCTGATCTTGCTAGACCATAACGAGCTAATCATTCCCAGACTTGTTCCCGTAAGTTTTGTACCGGATCTTCATACACAAAAGTTAGAAAAACCTTTTCCCAGTCGCCACTGCTTCCACATCAATCATCCGAGTATTTGAGTATAAAATCTATACTTGATACTCCTTTTTTTAGAAAAGAGCGAGACCCCTACTCCTGCCAACTGGATCCACCGTAACCAAACTATCACATCCAAAATGTGCTTGAAACCCTTGTACAAAATCATAATCTTGTTTTGTTTCCGATAAAAAAAGAAAATCTGGTTTATGTTTGTGACATATTTCTCTTAGATAGCTAATCTTCTATTTTCTTCTCATTCCTCTACAATTCCAACTTAACACTCTCATAAACGTATTCATTAAATAGCTCCTCCAAGACAAACTTGTGGGTTTGAAGAGACCCATTATGTGGTTGAATGGTGATAACCCCAAATTTAATATGCCAAAATATTGTTTGTAACCTGCTTAAATTTGCCTTAACACATTCATTAACCTACGAAAGCCATCTTGGATCCAACGTTTTACTTGTTTCTCCTTAATAAAATTCTTACCCATCGAAGCCTTCCAAAATATGAAAGCTCTTGTTAAGAGGATCCAACCAAACCGAATCATAAAATAAATCTCATTCAAAAGCATAAGCACATGTCTTAATATGCGACTCCGCCTACATACATCTATATAGCCAACAACATAACATGTCCTGCCTCCCCATAGCGAATATCATTCGATACAGAAAACTAAACTCAACTTCTGAGTGTTCATTACATGATCATATCTAACCAGTATATCACCATAAAATAGCAACCTTGCTGAAAACTTGGACCATAAGTACTCGGCCCTTTATTCCTTCCTATCTAGAACTTGGATGTTCCAACCTTTGAATTTGTGATCTTTGTCTATGATTCCCGCTAACAGAATAGCAAAAACATCCATGTGAGGATCCTCACTAAGCCTTTGGATGCCCCCATGATCCCTGGCTATCCCCGATTCTACTCTCTGAAACTGGTTTGAAGAGACCAGCCATAAAGATTGCAACGCCAAAGTTAGATTAAACGATTCACTCCAGAAACCCGTCCAAATACGTGTGAACCTCAGAGTCACCAACCTTTTATCTTGACTCCCTCCAGGACCCCAATGCTCCACTTAACATGCAACAACAAACATCAACCAAGAGCAAACATCTAATTGCAATCCCAGTAGCCCATACCAAAACCCCGAAGAGATATATTGCTTCTCTTCCCATGCCTTCCCAAACTTAAACCTGTCCAAAAAATTCAAGTAAAACTCACTCCATACCAAAAAAATAACCCCAAAGACCCAACTCTCACGGTCTTGCCTGCAATACTAACCATCCTTTGCATTTTCCAATCAGTTAGAGTAGATTTCGTATCCCTAAACCCCTCTAACAGGGCAGACATCATTCTCAACACAGTCTCAGAACTTAGCAAAACTCGCTTATCTAGCATCAATACTAGACAAGAAAAACTCACCGATCTCAAACCTGAATACTGAAACTGAAGGGAGGTGCCCGGAATTAGCGATAGTAACTCCAGCCCTCGAAAATATCTTTCAAACCATTGATCCAGCTCCAGACCGGGTGACCAAGTGACACCTGTTGGTACTTCCTGCCACCGACTCATTAATGTACTCTTCACTCCTATTACGTCAAAGTAAATAAGTCAGCCCCAACATAGCCTAAGATATACTAAACCATGTTATAAGATCATTTCCACAATAAACTTTATTTTAAAGTTCTCTTTTTAATTTAATTTGATAAAACCTTAAATTTAAGGTTTAAGAGTTTTTTTTTTCCAAAAACCAAACCTTAAAGTTTTTCAAAAGAAAAATCTAAAACTAAATCTTAAATATTTTATATAGTACATTAACAATCTACTAATAATAATTATTTTAAAATATTTATACTATTAAAACAGACTTCCGGTAGGAATACTGCCATTACTTTTAGAATTAGTTACAATGTGATCCCAATGATATTTAATTTTAATATAAATATTACTTATTTAAATTAACGATAGAATATTTCCTATATTTTATGATAATTAATAATTTCCATTATATTTGAATAATTATTATTAGTTTTATGAAAATTATACTCTATTTATTTTGAATATCATTTTCTCATGTGCAGTATTAATCAACGATTGAAGATGAATAAATACATGAAATATTCAAAAAAAAAATATTATTAACTATTTTTGTACATAATATGATATGCCAATTTTGAATGTTCAAACATCTTTTAAAACTTATCACAAAATTAAGTTTTAGTTCTAACATAAATAAAAATATAAACTTATCATAATTTATTAGTAACGAAAAAGAAACTAATACTATTATATCAACAAATTTACTATTTTTCTATTACCATTGTTTCATTTTCCTCAAATGACATAATACAAATTTTATTAAAGTATAAATAATTACATTTTTCAATTTTTATGTAATATGAAAAAGTAGGATTTATTTAATAAAAATATTCAAAAATATTATTACGCTTTTTGAGTTTTTAGCGGATCATCTGATATCAGATCGTAGGTTAATAGTGAGTCTTTGAATGTTTATGGATTTCTAGGATTTTTAAATTAAAATTATTTTTATTAAATTTGAACCCAATTGTACAAAGGTCACTGAATCTATTGGTTTAGTCACGAGTCTAAGTAAAACATTAATTGAAATCAAATATTATAATAGAACAACTTTTTTGCAACACAAATATAACAACTTTCAAATTGTGTGTTTTCTAATAAATTTATAAATCAATCCAGCTTATAAAAATGGCAAACAAATACCTGTGCTTATTTTTTAAGAAAATTTATAAATTCAATCCAATTTTATAAAATTTGCAAAAAATAGTTTGGCCAAAATCTAGTAAACTTTTTCTAACAGTTGTATAATATAAAATAAAATAACATTGATAATTACTTCTTTCGAATTTGTTCAATCTAAACACGAAAGAATCATTAAAGAACTTAGAAAAACATCATCACTCAAAAGAACCCAAATTTCCAGACAATATTTTATTGATTTAGGAGGCTTGTGATAAAATTTACACAAATATTCAAATTATCAAAACAATTTAAATATACATATATGTATATATATATTAAGGACAATTGACCCAAATAAATATTTTTAACTTTTTTCCATGAGAAAAATCCAAAAATGAAAAATGACCAAAATCAATTTCATTAAAGAATCAAAATATCATGCGTGGGAGAGATGGCCTGAACAGAAAACATTGGGCTACCGATGCTGGCGGATATCGCAGAGATGGGAAGCCATATGATCGTTATGGCAATAAGATATGGCGCGAGAATCGAAAGATAGGAGCCACACTTCAAACGAATTTGCTAATGGGAGTGGATCTCGTGTTCTTGGTGTTAATGAGGTCGAGCATATTCATGCAGTTGTTCCTTATGAACAACCAGAGCAAACAGGCGAGACAGTATTGGAGAGTGATCATGGTCACCAGAGATATATGGGGGATGGAATAAACTCGGAGGAGCGAAAGAAACTGGCTAGCACAATTGTATCTCCTGCTTTGAGACGCCCAGCGATAGATGACAATGTCACCATCAGAAGTAGGAGTGCTGCAAAATCACTCATGTTTTCTCCCCAGGAGGAGCGAATTGTGGATAAGCATGAGCCGATAATTGATGCACTAAGTGATATGGAGATTCAGGAGAATGACTTGTTTGATGATGAGCTTCATGAGTTGGAAAATGCTGCCATTTCATCATCTGCAGTGAGTACAACTAAGCGGAAATATGATCCATCCGTATCGAAGAGAGGAAGTAGATCCAGAAATAATACCACTTTGGGTATCCAAACGAAAAAATCGGAGTTCCTTCGTCGAGGTTCTCCTAAGTTGAGATCAACAATTGCTCTTTCTATTGCACAACCAAGAGACAAAGAAAAGGCAAGGCACAGACACAGAAGATCAAGTAATACAACAGGAACTTCAGGAAAGGGTGATGGTTTGGTGGGATCCAAAAACCCATCCAATCTTCATCCATGAAGACAATCAGTTAGAACTGTCGAGGGCTAGGAAACAACCTCACAGTTCGACGCCTTACGGAGATGTGTCAGAAGCATCGCCCAGGACTTGTGTTTCTTTCTGAGACGAAGAATAGGAGGCTGCTGTTGCAAGACATTCAGGCCGACCTAGGTTTTGATCGTTTGTTTACCGTTGAGCCACGTGGACTCAGCGGAGGTTTAGCTTTGTTTTTTATGGATGATTTTCAAGTTAAGATTTTATTTTCAAATAACAGAATGATTGACATTGAGGCAATCATTGATGGAATAAAAGTGTACATGACGTTTGCTTATGGAGATTCTGTTTTAGAACGTAGGAAGTTAGTTTGGGAACGTCTTACGGGTTTCTCAACAACAAGAAATGGACTTTGGTTCATGATTGGTGACTTTAATGAGATTACATGCCATGAAGAGAAAGAAGGGGGTCGTGAACGCTCAGATAGCTCTTTCTTGCCTTTCAGACAAATGTTGAGTGATTGTGGAATGCTGGAGTTTCCATTTCAGGAAATATGCTATCATGGGCTGGGAAAAGAGCAGGGAGAGTTACAGTTTGCCGTCTGGACAGAGCTGTTGGTAATGAGGATTGGCATGAAAAATTTCCTCATACGAAGACACAGTATATGTTGGGGTCAAAATCGGTACGACGGAATTAATAGCCAAATCTTTCCGTAAAAATACAAAAAGAACAGTTTTATAAAACTCGAGAAATCGTTTTATAAAGCTCGAGAAGCGTTTTATAAAACTCGAGGATCATTTTATAAAACTCGAGAATCGTTTTATAAAACTCGAGAAAATCGTTTTATAAAGCTCGAGAATCGCTTTATAAAACTCGAGAAATCATTTTATAAAGCTCGAGGATCGTTTTATAAGACTCGAGAATCGTTTTATAAAACTCGAGAAATCGTTTTATAAGACTCGAGGATCGTTTTATAAAACTCGAGAATCGTTTTATAAAACTCGAGAATCGTTTTATAAAACTCGAGAATCGTTTTATAAAACTCGAGAATCGTTTTATAAAACTCGAGAATGTTGGGGTCAAAATCGGTACGACGGAATTAATGGCCAAAACTTTCCGCAAGAATACAAAAAGAACAGTTTTATAAAGCTCGAGAATCGCTTTATAAAAATCGAGAAATCGTTTTATAAAACCCAAGAATCGCTTTATAAAACTCGAGAAACCGTTTTATAAACTCGAGGATCATTTTATAAAACTCGAAGATCTTTTTTATAAAACTAAAAAAGTCATTTTATGAAATCCAAAGATCGTTTTATAAAACTCGAGAACCGTTTTACAAAACCGCAAAAAACCGAAAAAGCCGTGAAACGCGAACTAGTCGCAACTAGTCTGCCCACCGGCGATCTAAGCCAAACCCGGCTTAGATCGCCGATGGGCGATCTAAGAAACACTCTCTAGATCGCCCATCGGCGATCTAAGCCGGGCCCGGCTTAGATCGCCAATGGGCGATCTAAGGGTCACTCTTTAGATCGCCGATGGGCGATCTAAGACACATCCTCTAGATCGCCCATCGGCGATCTAATCCGGACCCGGCTTAGATCGCCGATGGGCGATCTAAGAAACACTCCCTAGATCGCCCATCTTTAGATCGCCCATCTTTAGATCGCCCATCGGCTTAGATCGCCCATCTTTAGATCGCCCATCTTTAGATCGCCCATCTTTAGATCGCCCATCGGCGATCTAAGCCGGGTCCTGCTTAGATCGCCGATGGGCGGTCTAAAAACTTCCCGAACACTCCGCGTCTCGATTTCCCGTATTCCTGATTCAAAACTTACGTCTTTCGACAAGGTTGCGTTCTAAACCACGGTCGAAATATCTCTCGATCCGACTTACCATTCGAGTTTTACGATAAAAACCATAAAACTTCGTTTTCTCGGAAAGAACTCGAGGAAATCGTATAAAATGGCAACGGTTAAACGAAACGCCGAACATTGCCTAAACTGTACGATTTATTCGAGATTTCTCGTTAAAATCGTGAAAAACGTGTTTTTAATAAAAAACGCCAAGTAAATTGTAAAACTTCGCGATTAACTCGAGAAATTTATTAAAACGACATCAGATCAGAAAACGATCCCGTAAAAAGTCGGAAAACGGTTTTTATCGCAAAACGGCCCAGGAGGACCTAAAACGCGATAAAAATCCATCTCGCGATTTTAACGGGATCTAACCCGCAGATTTGATAACGTTTTGACGGTTTACTCGCAGAAAGCAAATAAAAGTCAAGTTTGAACATAAAAGGAAGGTTTAAAGAGAAATAGAAGATTNTCCCGATTTAAGTCAAATCTGGGCGAAATGGAAAGATCGGATTGCCAAGACGAGGAGTATATAAAGAGGAGGTCTAGGGCAGAAGCAGAGACACGAAATTCAGAGCTCTCACCACCAAAACTAGCATTTAGGAATATTTCCGTTTTTCTGTTAGCGAGCTGCGTCTCAATTAGGGTTTTCTAGTTCTTACGCTTTCGGCTACTCTTTGTGTACCAGTTCAACGCAGATTCGGAATAAGAACCTCTTTGCCCTCTATTTTCGTTTATTCTCATTTTAATTCTAAGTATTTTCGTTGTGCGGTTCTCGCAGATAGCCGGTTCCTCTGGAAACTTAGGGTTTTCCCGAAGTTTCCTTTTTTACGATTTATTTGACAGGAGGGTGAAATCGACTCCCACAGTTTGGCGCTAGAAGGAGGGGGGGTCGGATCTATCTTACACCGTAACCGCAATATGCCCAACGAAGAAACGATGACTGGTGACAACCAAACTCGCGACGAACGCGACAACGTTGAAACACCGCTACCAAAAGACGCGCCTGCGGCCAACGCTACAAACGCTAACGCCGAGACCGTCGAAAAGATGCTTTCCGAGTTTAACAAAAAATCGGAAGAGCAGGAAAAGCTTATTGGTTCACTCGCAAAACGGCTCGNCTAACGCCGAGACCGTCGAAAAGATGCTTTCCGAGTTTAACAAAAAATCGGAAGAGCAGGAAAAGCTTATTGGTTCACTCGCAAAACGGCTCGAAACCCTAACTGCGAGAACCAAAGCAATTCGCCCCCGCGGAACTACCAAAATCCGCGGAAGGAGACTCGATTTCGGCGCTCCTACGGATCGTCCCAGAAACGATCAGGGAAACGTACCGGAAAAGGATTCTGAAAACCCTGACACGACCGAGATTCGCGATCTCCGCGAATACATTACCAAAACGGCCGCAGAGGTAAAAGCAGTGAAATCTCAGATTCACCACGCGACCAGCGCTGCACCCGAGATCGATCGGCTGCTGTACGAATCTCGGAAAACGCCTTTCACGGCTCGCATCACCGAGATCAAACTGCCCGATCCCGGAAAGCTTAAGGTGCCAACTTATGACGGGACGACCAATCCCAAAGCGCACCTGCAAGCGTTCCAGATCACCATGGGACGAGCCAAGCTCAGGGACCACGAGAAAGACGCAGGTTACTGCCGCCTCTTCGTCGAAAACCTAGGAGGAGCCACGCTCGAATGGTTCGCCAAACTTAGGCGAAATTCGATCGGAAGTTTCCGTCGACTGGCTTCGGAGTTCCTGAAACAGTACTCGATGTTCATCAACCCGGAGACCTCCGACGCCGATCTCTGGAGCTTGGTGCAGGAGGAAGACGAATCTCTCCGCGATTTCATGAGTAGATTCAAACTCGTCATGGCTAGGGTTAGCGG